GGAGCCTAAGAGAATTAAAACCAGGAGAGGAGCCTAAGAGAATTAAAACCAGGAGAGGAGCCTAAGAGAATTAAAACCAGGAGAGGAGCCTAAGAGAATAAAAATCAGGAGAGGAGCCAAAAAAAATCAAAATCAGGAGAGCACCTTAAAAAAATTGAAATCAGTAGAGGAGAGTAAAAAAATTAAAATCAGGAGAAGAGTGTAAGAGAATAAAAATCAGGAGAAGAGCAAAAAAAAATAAAATCAGGAGAAGAGCCTAAGAGAATAAAAATCTGGAGAGGAGCCTAAGAGAATTAAAATCAGGAGAAGAGCCTAAAAAAATCAAAATCAGGAGAGGAGCCTAAAAAAATCAAAATCAGGAGAAGAGCCTAAAAAATTAAAATCAGGAGAAGAGGTTAAGAGAAATAGAAGTTGGAGAAGAGCCTAAGTGATATAAAATCAGAAGAGCCTAAGAGTAAAATAAAATTAGGAGAAGAGACTAAGAGAATAAAAATCAGGGGAAGAGCCTAAGAGAAATATAAGAAAGACAAAATTCGTGGGCATTTCTAAAGCTGCAGTGCATCCCCGCTTCTCATGCTGCCCACCCGACTCATCTCCAATACCCGGACACTCCCAAAAGTTACCCGGATGGCTCCTGCCATCACTAAAGCTCAGTGCCTCGTTGCTAATCATTTTAATACTCGGAGATTGCAGACGAGGACAGCTCAAGACGACCAATCTGGGTCAGTTGCCCCATCGTGAGGTGGTTCCTGCGATCACGAGGTTACTCCAAGTCAACTACGAGAAAAAAACCCATAAGCGATACGTGAGTTGTGCGGCATGGGGATCGAACTCCAGTGATCCCCCTACTCACCAGCACCGAGGCCCTGACCGGAGTCGGACACTGGGGCTCTAACCTTCCGTGATACCTGAGTGACTGACACACAAACTGAGAAGGCTCTAACCTTCCGGGATACCGGAGTGACTGACACAGAAACTGAGAAGGCATCTCTAAAGCTGCAGTGGATCCCCGCTCCTCCTGCTCCCTCCCCAGTTCACCTACAAGGCTCCTCTCTCTTCAGCTGCTCCCAAGACCGCCCCTGCAAATGAAATGGGGAAATGCTCAAACACTCAGCTCTCTAACATTTAGGGATCACTCACACAGACTCGAACTGCTCTGCCCTGCACACGTGAATCCCATGATAAAAAGTAAGCCCTTCCTTTGATGCGTCCAAATAACCTGTTCCAGGATAATACCCCTTGCACCATACTAATTTCAAAAATCCCTCCAGGCGAGGCACATACTTGCCCCGACTCCCAACCCCTCTCTGGGTCTTTGCCCTGCACTTAACTTTCCGAGAGCCGGGGATGTCAATCCATCTTTGATGCACAGGAGGGGCACCTGGGCTGGCTCAGAGGTTCCTGCCATCGTCAGACTACTAGGAGTCAACTGCGAGAAAGAAAACCAGACACCGTATCTGAGTAGTGTGGCACGTGGCCCCAGCCCCCATGATCCCTCTACTCACTCTCACCGAAGCAGCTCCTCGGGTCGCTGGCTCTGACCAGAGTTGGACAATGTGATGTCATCTTCTGGGATACCTGAGTGAGCGAGAGACAAAATTAGAGGGCAACTCTAAAGCTGCAGTGGATCCCCACTCCTCCTGCTGCCTCCTCGACTCACCTCCAATGCTCATCTGCTCCCACAGGTTAGCCAGATGGCACCTGCAATCAAAAAAGCTCAATGCTTCACTGCTGATCTTTTTAATACTTGGAGATTACCTACAAGGACAGCTCGAGAGGACCAAACCATGTTCGTCACCTCATTGAGAGTTGGCTTCAGCCCTGTGAGGCTGCGTACGTCTCCTGCAAAAAAAAAAACCCAGAGGCAAATCTGAGTACTGAGATACTGTCTAAGAGTATGCTGCTCCCATGGCAGTTTCTGTCTCACACCCCTTGACCGTGACCTCTTACAGGGAGGGTCCCCATCACGTTGGACTGCATGTTAGATGTCGGTGCATTGCCTGTAAAACAAAAAACCAAGTATGCATGCAGATTCACCACAAGTACCCTGCCTACAAAAGAGCATCTAGTTTTGTCCTGCAGTCACTGCTCACCTTGCTCACCGGACTCACCTTCCCTCTGGTGCCTATCGTCTGCTGGGCCGAGGGCTCCGCATCTTAAAAAAAAAACCAAAACCACAAAACTAAGCCACCAAACCATCAAAATGATCAAGTAAACCTAGGGCCAAAAGTCATGTCTTGGCTCTGACCTCACATGAGAACCCACCTTCTGACTGTGCTCCTCCAGCCTCTTCTTTTTATCTCTGCTTTACATCCAGTCCCTCTGACACTGCAAAGAAATGAGTTACCAAAGTCAGCCATATA